AGAGAGTCCAGAGGAGGCCCCGGAGATGCTGCCAGGGCTGGAGCCCCTCTGCTCTGGAGCCAGGCTGGGAGAGCTGGAGGGGTTCCCCTGGAGAAGAGAAGGCTCCAGGGAGAGCTGAGAGCCCCTTGCAGGGCCTAAAGGGGCTCCAGGAGAGCTGGAGAAGGACTGGGGACAAGGCATGGAGGGACAGGACACAGGGAATGGCTTCCCAGTGCCAGAGGGCAGGGATAGGACAAGAGGACAATGGTCTTAAGCTGCACCAGGGGAGGTTTAGGTTGGACATGAAGAAGAATTTCTTCACAGAAAGGGTGATTCGACATTGGAAGGGGCTGCCCAGGGAGATGGTGGAATCCCCATCCCTGGAGGTGTCCAAGGGACGACTGGATGTGGCACTTGGTGACTGGGTGACCTGGTGCTGGGTGACAAGGTGGTGTTGGGCCAAAGGTTGGACTCGATGACCTCAGAGGTCTTTTCCAACCTAAAGGATCCCGTGATTCTGCTAAATGGGATATTGGGAAGAAATTCCTCCCTGCGAGGGTGGTGAGGGACTGAAATGGAATTCCCAGAGAAGCTGTGGCTGTCCCTGGATCCCTGGAAGTGTCCAAGGGCAGGTTGGACAGGGCTTGGATCAACCTGGGCTAGTGGAAGGTGCCCCTGCCCATGTCAGGGGATGGAACTGCATGATCCTTCAGCTCCCTCCCAACGCGAACCATCCCATGACTCCCTAATTACGCTCCCACAACGCCCTGAAGGCGGGACGGACCCGCTCCCTGCCCCCCCCCCCCCCCCCCCCGGCCCTTCCCCCCCTCCCCGCCCGCCAAAACCACCACCCGCGCGCGCGCCCTCCCTCACCCGTCCGGCCCCGCCCATCTCCCCCTTTTTCCCCCGCCCCCTTTCCCTCCCTCCACCAATCAGCGCGCCGGAGGCCGCCCCCCGCGCTCCGCCCCCTTCTCTTCCGTCGGCCAATCGGGGCGCGGCGGAGGGGCGGTCCCCGCGCGTGCGCGCCGGCGCGCGGCGGGGCGCGAGTCCTTGGCGACGGGGCGGCTCCGGCGCGGCCGCGCTGGGGGCGGGGGGGGGGACACCGGGACCGGGAACACCGGGACCGACCCGCCCATGGGGCCGGGACAGGACGAGGAGGAGGAGGAAGAAGGAGAAGAAGAACAACAGGAGCGGGTCCCGGTGAGTACGGCTTCGGGGAGGCGGGAGCAGCTCCTGCCCGGCCCGAGTTGGGGGGCGGTGGTGGGCGTGTGACAGGCTGGTTCCAACTCGTGTTTCTCGTTGTGCTGGTGGGATAAGCGGGCTGAAGGCACCTTCTGCCCCATGAAGGGGCTTTTAGCGGGTCATTCTTCCCTCCCAGAGCAAGGGGGGACGCGACTGAACTGAGCCCGCCCTTCCCCTCCTGCTCCTGGGGGGGCTGTGACCGGGCTGGTCCTTCCATGCCCTGCACTCTTCCCTGGGAGAAGGGTGGACCCTCCTCCCCTCCTGGGAAAAGGGCGTTTGTGTTCTGTTACTACCCTAGTTACGATTTAATAACTTTAAATTAGCAGTTATTCTGTTCTATTTGTGCCTTGTTGTGCCCCGGGGAGGGGTGGGTGTTGCTGGCTGGGTCACCGACCCTTCTGGGAATGCAGGGACAGAGGGGCTGGAATCATGGAATAGTTTGGGTTGGAGAGATCCTAAACCCATCCAGTGCCACCCCCTGTCGTGGGCAGGGACACCTTCCACTAGCCCAGGTTGCTCCAACCTGGTCTTGGACGCTTCCAGGGATGGGGCAGCCACAGCTTCTTTGGGAATTCCATTCCAGTCCCTCACCACTCTCACAGGGAGGAATTTCTTCTTAACATCTGATCTGAATCTCTCCAGTTTAAATTTAACTGTGGTTCCCCTTGTCCTGTGTAAAAAGTTGCTGCTCCCCATTTTTCATAAGCCCCCTTTAAGTACTGGAAGGTCCTGGAGCAGTGGAAGGTGCTGGAGGTCTCCCTGAAGCTTTTCCTTCTCCAGGCTGAGCTGGAGTGGCCCCATGGAGCCTCTCATTCCCTGGAAAGGCTCACACCCAGCCCTGTGCACTTTGCTGTGTTCATATCAGTGCTGGAGACAGGGGAGAGATCTCTGGAGCTCGTGTCCCATCACATCCTACCACCTCCATGCTCTGGAATCAGTGTTTTCCTGCATTTCCCTCTCGTGAGAGCATTGGGAAGATCCTTCCCGTGGAGTTGCACTTCTCTGGCACCTGGAGTTGTGTCCTGCTGTTCCCAGGGGGGTTCCCAGAGGTGTGAAGGGCTTGGGGCACCTGCACAGGTTCTGAGTGTTGCAAAATGTTGGGAGGTACCTTTTGTGTCCTTGAACAGCCCTTGTGGGACACTTGGGGCTGGGGATGTTTGTGGGTGTCACATCCATCGTTCTGTGCCAGGGAAGGTACCAGAGGACAACCCAAAATGCAAACGAGCCTTTCAGAGCTTTCATCCCGGGGCTCTCAAGGAACTCAAGAGGTGCCACAGCCACGTGGTGACCAGTGGTAGGTGCCACAACAGCTCTTAGAAACCTTCCTGGGAAGAGCCATGGATTGGGAGAGGTTCAGTCCCGCCAGGGAAAATAACAAAGACTAAAACAAAAAGTAGGAAAAGGCCATGGGAATAAATATGATGTGTCAAAGGCAAGTCTGACTTTAAGGATCATGGGAATTGAGTGCAGAAGGACTTGCCCTGTGTGTTTTCAGGAAGGATGATTTGCCCCAGGACAGCAGGGATGGTTCTTGCTCTAATACTTATTCTTCTGTGTATTTAAATAGAAATGAAGTTCCTTTAAGTGCTGCTTTACAGACAAATTTCAACTTCACGGTTCTGAGCTGTGTGTGATGTTATAAACCAGTGGATTTACCTCCTGCTGCTTGTTTTATCCATCACAGGTCGGGTGGTTTTGCTCCTTTTTGGGTGTCAGGTTCTGTTGTGGGGTTTGTTTTTTTTTTTTTTTGGAGGCTTTTGCTTCCTCCTCTGGGTTTGTTTTGCTCTGGGCTTTAAGTGCTGCTCTGACAACCTGAGCTCAGCTCTGGGAATTCCAGGTGGGAGCTGAGCCAAGTTTGTTCCTCCCTGACTGCTCCTCTGGGGCCAGGGGGTGCAGGAGCAGAGTAACCCAAAAGAATCTTCTACCTGTTTATATATTTCAATTTTACCAGTGAAAACGTTTTGCCCGTTCCCTCTTTCAGTTTATTTTCGATTATGAGGATGATTTAATCCAAGGTTTTGATTTTTTTTTTTTTTTTGCATTGAGCTAAACATAAATATTACAGATCAGATCCAGGAGCATCGAGCTTTTGGTTTTCATTCTTAAATGCTGCAAATTGGTGGTTTCATTCTACAATGTTCATTATTCCTTGGAAATTTTACTTGTCCTAATTGGAAATGAGGTTTGATCAAGGCTCCCTTTCCCAGGAGAGCTTGGACCAGGTGATCTTTGGGGTGCCTGTTCTTTGACACCCAAAATAATTAGTTGAGAATTAATAGAAAGAGCTTCAATTGCAAAGATTTAATGTATAAAATTTGAATGGTGATTTAATGTGGAAAAGCTAAAGGAATGAGCATTTCCTTAACTACAATTGGTGTGATACAAATGGTATGATTTAAAAAAATTAGAAATTAAAAATCAGAAGGTACCCAGAGCTTTCTCAGTGTTCCAAAGCTGAGGATGTGAAGAAATAGTTGAGCTTCTCATTGTATAAAATAATTCAGGGACACTCTAAAATGTTCATATTGGAGGTGGGATTTGGACACAAGGAATTAAGGGATTTTTTTGCACAGGAAAATGCAAATGAAATGGGTGAAACTAAATTTAATTCACAATAAGCAGAGCAGAAGGTGATGCTTGGAGGGGAGTTCCTGGCTTTGATTGTTGGGGTTGTTGAGGTGCTGTAAGAGTGTTAATTGTTGTCATTGGAAATGAAGCT